AAAAAGAAAAAAAAAAAAGAAAAAAGAGGAAGATATATTTTTTTATGGAAGACATATTTTTTCATTACAACATATACCGAATATATACTAACATAAACGCAATATATACCACCTGACAACTACGTGAATTAAGTAATTCCAGCTGCACACATATACTGAATATATACTGACATATACTCAATATATACCATCTGACAACTGCATAAATTAAGGAATTCCAGCTGCACTGAATATATACTAATCTATACTCAATATATACCATCTGACAACTGCGTGAATTAAGGAATTCTAGTTGCGCACATATACTGAATATATACCAACATATACTCAATATATACTACACGAGCTGCGTGAATTAAAGAATTCCAACTGCGCGGAAATAAATGAGTTAGTTATTTATTATAGACATGTTTTTCATTTCTCTCTCTTATTCAATTCCATAAAAAGGGGGATGGAAATTGAAGATTATAGTAACCGAATTTAATCATTAATGTTACTTATTATGTATTAGGTAGATTTGTAATTATTTTTTTATGAGTTGTATATTTGCAAAAAAAAAAAATGTATAAGGAGTTGAAGACGCATGAAGGCAGGCTGCTACGTAGAGCTATAAACAAACCGAGCCGAGCTCGAGTACTTAACGAGTCGAGTCGAGCCGAGCTCCACTTGTTAAATAAACGAGCCAAAATTTGAACTCGAGTTTGGCTCGTTAAGACCTCGAGCTCGAGCATTAAACGAGCCGATCTCGAGCTTTAATGAGCCGAACTATAAAAAATTATATAAAAATTTTATTTCCAAGACTTAATGAGCCGAGCTCGGCTCGTTAAGGCCTCAAGCTCGAGCCGAACTCCAGCCTTAACGAGTCCAGCTCGAGCCAACGAGTCAGACTCTTTTAATTTAATAGCACTAGCTGATAGTAATAATAATTTTTACCAATTTCACCTTCAACTCCACCAATAAAATTGACCGGGCCAATTCAGATTAAAATAAAACAAAATATATAGGGTGGATTATAACTTTTCTTGTTTGCGTTTACATCAACGATTTTTGTAACAAGAGAAAAGCTATTTTTATCCCGATTTGAAGGGCAACGACATTGTTGATGATCGGATCCGATCAACGGCTAAATGATAATTAAGTGTATGAAAAATATGGATTAAGAACAATGTGCGCAAAAAGTAGGTTATTTACTATTTATTACGAGATCGGCCTCTGATATTGAGGTCGACACTTTTGTTACACTTAGAAGTATTTGGGGGAATTTATTACAGATTGTAGAGAGAGAAAGTAGTAGTTGAGTGATTCAAGAACCCTAATAAATGAGATTGGGTCCTCTATTTATAGTATTTCTAGATTCGACATTGTTCACCATATCTTGTCACACAGTAGCTCTAAGGGACAGGTCAGCGCCGCTCTGACAGATATTAAATGCGATTTGAGGTATCTTCAATGATTACCTGTCAGACATTAAATGCTCACATGTGGGACATTTAATGCTGACAGACCTTTTGGCCGGACTAGGCATCATAGGGGGGGAAACTAGGCTGCCACGTCCCGTCGGCAATCACCAATTGTCAAGTGGCAATTCTTTATTATTTTCGAGTTATGTGTTCATTCGGAAGCCGATCCTGAGGAGTTCTCAGGCCGGACTTTCAACATTTATTGATACCCAGTTTTTGGGAAAATGTTTCTCTACTCGGCGTCGGCGGAGGTCGGCCTCGCCACTGGGTGGTTAAGGTGTCGATCTTGAACATGGTATCGTTGTCGTCCTGGTTGATC